TGCGGCTCTCTGGGGGGACCCCGTCCCGCGGGGAATAGGAGGTGAGAGCCGCCTCTTATTCGTGGGTCATCAGAGGCCGATCCGATCTTGAATGTCTGTGGAGGAAATCTTTAAGAAGTTAGAGTACACGGCCCAAGTCTGGTTTCTGATCAAAGGCGCTTTATTGGCTCAGCAAAACGATTATATACTGTTATCCCAGGGGGAAGGTTCAGCAAGCTTATTGGACAGTTCAAGCAAATCAATCACATGAGTCACTCAAGCATTTAACCATACAGCAATCAGTATTTTACCAAATGTGGGGAGGGGTAAGTGGGAAGGCGTACATCAACAATTAACCCTATGCAATCTTTAACTTCACAATCCCTAGGGGCAAGTAGGACGGGGAATACCACCTGCTTCCTGCTCCAGATCCCGTGACCCTGTGGTTAGCACAAAGGGCTATTTTTTCTGTAAGATTTCCTGTTTGCCCAGGGGCTAGACCTGCCAAAGGTCACGTATGTAGTCTAGTGGGATTTTTCCACCGAGGCAAAGGCTAAGGTTGAGGGCAGCCATCTTATGCAGGCCCAAGCAGTCTCTCACAATGAATAGCTGTGGAAACTTTTTCCAGGGATGTAAATTGTCTCTACATTCTGTTGATTATTTTCTTTGTGGCAGCTTAATTTTCTCTGACCCAATTTGTTGATTGTTAATATCTTTTGAACAATTGGGGTTATGTTCAGAAAGTTACCGATTTTATCTTCCAGCTGACCATTTCTGTTTTGATATCTAGATCTTTAATCCAGTTTGATTTTACTATAGTACATGGTGAGAGATAATTGGACTAAGTTCAGTCTTCTGCATGTGAATAACCAGTTTTCCCAGCACCATTTTTAAAAAGAGTTATGGTATCTTTGCTACAGTGAATGTTTTTAGTGGTTTGTCAAAAATGAAAAAGTTGAAAGGCCTGGGGTTGTTTCTGCATCCTGTATTCTGTTCCATTGGTTCTCATGTCTGTTTTCCTGCCAGTACCTGCAGGTTTATCGCTGGAACTTTGTAATATAAATGAAGACTGGGGTGGTGATGCCTCCTGCTTGCTCTTGTTTTTTAGGATTTCTATTTCTATTCTGGGTCTTGTCTGGTTCTGCATGAATTTCAGGATTGTTTTCTCCAGTTTTGTGAGGAATGGTGTTGGTAGTGTAATTGTGATTGCATTAAATCTCTATATCAGTTTTGCAAGTGTGGCCATTCTGACAAGGTTGGTTCTGCCTATCCAGGAACAAAGGTTGTCTTGGCATTTTCTGATGTCCTCTTCGATCATGTTTTTCAGATTACTGTAGTTTCTGTTGTAGAGGTCTTTGACTCTTTGATTAAGTTAACATCAATTTCATTTTTCTTGACTCTTATGAAAATTATTGTTTTCTTAATTTCTTACTTGGTGAGTTCATTATTGTTGTACAGAAATGCTATTGATTTCCTTGTATTCATTTTGTATTCTACTTGACTACTTAATTTGGTTATTCCTGAGATCTTTTGGTGGAATTTTTTGGGTCTTCTTTTTAGAGGATCATGTCGTTGCAGATAATGGATTTGACTCCTTCCTTTCCTGCACATATCATATTTGTTTCTTTCACTTGCCTGAGTGCTCTGGGTATTATTTTGAGTAATATAATCAACAAGAGTGGTGATGGAGACGTATTTCTCTTGTCTCTAGTTTTGGAGGTAAACCTTTCAGTTTTCCCTATTTAATAGGATGTTGGCAGTGGGTTTTGTAATAAATAGCTTTTATCATATTGAGATAAAGCCCTTCTGTATCTATTGTATCTATTTTTTAGTTTTTTTTTTTCAGACAGGATCTCACTATGTAATTGAGACTTTCCTGGAACTCACAGTGTAGCCCAGGCTGGCCTGGAGCTCACAGCAATCCTCCTGCCTCAGCCTCCCAAGTGCTGGGAGTGGTGTGCCACCACGCCCAGGTTTTAGGGTTTTTATAATGAATGGATGTTGGATTTTGTTAAAGGCTTTTCCTGCATCTGTTGAGATGATCCTGTGATTTTTTTTCCTTATTTCTTTTGGGCTTACTTGTCTTGTTCCAGAGTTTAAAGGGAAAGCTTTCAGTTTTTCTCCACGTAATATGATGTCAGTGGTAGACTGTTAGAAATGGCTTTTCTCACATTGAGAGAAGGTCCTTCTCTACTTATTTTGTTCAGGGTTTTTGTCATAAAAGAATATTGGATTTTGTCAAAGGCTCTTTTGCATCCATCAAGATGATATCTGCTTTCTGTCCTTGCTTCTGTGTATGTGATATACACACATACAGTGACTGGGAGTACTGTAGCCCTCTCAATTTCATTAAAAAGCTGGAAGAAAAGGGCTAAAGGTGTAGGGGAAGTGGGAAGGGTAGGGTAAAGGTAATAAAGGAAAAAAATGAGAAAATGAAAAAATGGAAATAAAGTATTTGTAAATAGAGAAGGGAGGAGGGAGTAAAGGAAGGGCAGGGATAAGGGGAAAATGAGAGCCAAGACCTGTCATGTAAAGGTACAAGATCCCGGTGATGAATGTAACTGTACTGTACACCTAAAATGTACCAATAAACTCAGTGAGAAAAAAAAAGCTGGAGGAAGGGCCCAGGATTTAGCTCACTGGTTCCACTGCCTGCCTTGCAAGTGCAAGGAACTGAGTTTGATCCCTGGTACCAAAAAAACAAAACAAAACAAAACAAAAACCATAAATAAATAAATTAATTTTAAAAAAGAGCTGGAGGAGTAGTGGCATTAGATCTTTCCTGAAGTTTTTGAGAATTCAGCAGTGAATCCATCAGAATGTGGGCTTTTCTTCCTTGATAGTTTTATTTGCATTACTGATTCAATTTTATTATATGTTTTTGATTTTCCCAGGGCTTTTTTTTTATTTTCTTGGTTCAAGTTTGGTAATTTGTATTTATATAGGAATGTACCCATTGCTTCTAGATTCTCAAATTTATTGGAGTAAACATTTTCAGAGTACTTACTATTAATCTTCTGGATTTTGGTGAAGTCTCTCTCTTTCATTTTTAATTCTGTTGATGTAGGTCTTTACTTTCTCTTTTCTAGTACTATTCTCTAAGGCTTTGTCCATTTTGTTTATTCTTTTTAATAACCAGCTATTCAGTTCATTGATTCTTTGTAGTTTTTGGTCTCAATTTAATGAATCATTGCTCTGATGTTTATAAATGCTCTCCTTGTATTAGCTTTGTATTTGGATTTTTCTCGTTTTGCTAGCATGTTGAAGTGCATCATGAAGTATTTCTTTGGACTTACTCTGTTTTTGTGATGTAGACATTCCTCACTATACTAGAAATGTCCTTCTTGGACTTCTTTTATTGTGTACCATAGGTTCTAATGTGTTATAATAGCATTATTATTTGATTCTGGAAATGTTGAACTTCTTTCATTTCTTCTACTGATTTCATTGATTCCTCAGGAGAACGTTATTTAACTTGCATGTGCTTACATAATTTCTGTCATTTCTTTTGCCATTGGTTGCTAGTTTCATTGCATTATGAAATGATAATGTACCTGGGATGATTTCAGTTATTTTGCATTTATTTATGTGAGCCTTGTGGGCTAGAATGTGGTCTATTTTGGAGAAAGTTTACATTCTGCTGAGAAAAGGTGTATTCTGTTGTTGACTAGAACCCTCTGTAGAAACTTGTTGAGTTCATTTTGTTCAGAGGATTGTTTCAACTCTGATATTTCTTTGTTGCTCTTTTGTGTAGTGGATTTGTGTACATGAGACAGTGGGATGTTGAGGTCACCTGCTATAATTGTGTTGAAACTTATCCAAATGTTTATGTCCATTAATATTTGTTTGATGAGGTTGCTATGCTGGTGCTCAGTGTATATATTATTTATGATTGTTATCTCTTCCTTTTGGACTGTTCCCTTAATCAATATGTAGTGAACTTCTTTACCTCTCCTGATCAGTTTTTGTCTTGAAGTCCAATTTATCTGAAAATAACAGAGTTACTTCTTTCCACTTTGGGGTTCCAATCAAATGGAATATTGTTTTCTATTCATCGATTTTTGGTCTGTGAATGTTCTTTTGGAGTAAATGTTTGTGTACTGTATACTGTTATTTTTTTATCTGTTCTTCTCATCTGTGCCTTTTTCCCCCCTGTACTGAGGATTGAACTCAGGCCCTTGTGCTTGCCACACAGGCATGGTGCCACTGAGCTAAACCTCCAGCTGCAGTCTGTGAATTTGGATTGGAGAATTGATACCATTCTCATGGATAATTTTTACCAAAAACTGTTGACTTATTCCTGCCCCTGCATTATTTTCCTGTTGACGATTCCCTTTTCTTTTACTCTCTGCTCACCGACTCACCCTGCTTAGTGCATTCATTCTATTGTACTTTTTGACGTCGTTGGCCTCCTTATGCCTTTCATGGATGGTGTTGGGAATTTTTTCTTTTGGTGTTGGTGAGGTGGCCACGAATTTGTTAAGGTGCTTGATGTCATGTAAAGACCTTATCTGCCCTCCAATATCAAACAGTAGTTGTGCAGGTTATATCAGTTTTTGAGTTGGAAGGCGTTTTCTTTTGGGGCTTGAAACCCTTCAATCCAAGCTCTACTGGCATTTAAGGTTTTTTGAGAAATCTGCTGTTATTCTAATGATTTTATCTTTATAAGTGATTCATTGCATTTCTCTAACAGATTTAAAAATTCTCTCCTGTGTTGGACTCTGGGATCTTGACTTGAGGTGCTGTGAAGAAGTTCTTTTCTGATGGTAACTGTCTCCAGTTGTATATGCCTGACATGCAGCAGCAGCATCTGCCAGGGGTGTCCCTGGCCATGACTGTGACTTTGAGCGCCCGCTGCCCCCAGAGACCTCTCATCACAGCTCTCACCTCTGTCCTTATTAGCATCACCAGTTGGGCAACTTATAAAGGCCCTGCCTAAGGAGACAACTCACGATGCCTGGCATGTTACTCAGGGCAAAGACCCTGCGTTCATTCCCCAGGACAGAAGAAGACTTGATGTTGTGAACAATAAAAAGAATTGCAAATGAAAAGAATAACTGAATATGACTTTTGCCCTTTCGTTTTTGGCACACATGTGACACAAAAGTTGAAAGGTACCTGGTGCTGTTCAGGTGAGAACTGGAAATGATTGCTTAATGCAGCCATTGAATGGTAAAAAATGATGTGACTTTCTGAAAGGCAAGTAGGAAATATCGACTAAACTTATAAATAGAGCGAGGCATTGCAATGTATATTATGCCAATATTCATACAATTTTGCCAAGATCATTATGTAAAAACATTTTTAAATGAAGCAGATGAAGAGGAAGAGGGGGATGAAAAAACACACCTAACGTGACTAAGATAACTGAACATAGCCAAACTCCTAGCTCATTGGAGAAATAAAGAAGAGTGCTTGTAGGTAAATAAATCGGGAATCAAGTATCAGAACAAGTTACCAGGGTAGCACTCAAACAGCAGAATAGCAGACTTTATACTGAAACAAAAATGGCGCTGTGAATTTTAGGACATCCTTGTCTGAGAATTCAGAATCTGGAGTCAGCGGTAAAGTGAAATTATGGGCTGTTGTACTTTCACTTCACTTCTCAGTGTTACAATTTTATTTCATAAGCCTGTATTTATTTTTAGGGATGAAAGTTATACAGGATATACTAATCTATAAGTCAAGAACCTATCTGTACCTTCACTTTATATTCGAAAGCATTCTTCCATTTTTCCACAGGATGGCACCAAAGAACATTAAATACAGGAGCAGCAAGGGAAATGAAATCTGTGGTTTACATTGAAAAGCAATTTCCCATGTGTCCACAAGACGGCATGAGAGCACATCAACTATAGCAGCCAAAGAAAAAAATTGATCTCTAGTTTCTATTCTGCTTTTTTTTTTTTTTTTTTTTTTTTTTTTGCCAGTGATTGAACTCAGGTCCTTGGGCTTGCAAGGCAGGCGACAGAACCACTTAGCTATTCTGAAATTTTTTTGATTTCTCAACAAGATGACAGCAAAAATCCATCTCATATAGTAAAAAAGCAAGTGTCAGAGTGGTCTGAAATTCAATACTGCTGTTAATGGCACAGTTGCTTTTGTACCTCTAACTCGTACATATTTTTGTTAGATCTTTTTTTTCTGATAAAATAACTATGAATTCACTATAAGCTTGGTAAGTGACAGATAACACAAGTCACACACTGTGGCAATACTCAGATGTGAGCAACATTAACAACCTGGCATTAATCTATATTTCGAGATATGTGACAGAAAGGAGAAGCTACACATTTGTAGATCAAAGTGTATCCTGCCTCAGTTTGTTTCTCTTCTACCATCTTTTGTTCAAGTCATCTGTACTCATTTCCCAAATTTCTTTGAGAAGGTGACTTTAAAATTTTTTAAATTAATTAATTTTTTGTACCAGAAATAAAACTATGGACCTTGACCTTTTGAGGCAGGTGAAGCACCACTGAGCTAAATCCCCATGCAAGATGATGATTTTTAAAGGTTACAAGGTGTTCATGCAGTGGTGCTTTTCAAATTTATTAACTGATTTCAATTAGTCATTTAGGCTCTTGTCTTTGAACTAAAACAAATTTTCCCATTTATTGAATGTTCAGAAAAATACTTCAGTCACCATATAAATTACTATCCAAAGTCATGCACATTAATTTTTATCAATTTTTCATCATTTCATCATTACTTATGGTAATTAGGAAGGAGCCCAGTGGCCTTCATAATCAGCAATACCCCTATTTCCACATTTTTATTTTGAGAAAGTTCCTCACTAAATCTGTTGCCTAGGCTGCATTTGAACTTGGGACCCTATTTCACTTTTCTGAGTGGCTGAGACAAAATGTTTTAAATTGACAAATATTGTGGATCCTTTATATCTACGATCTTGGACATTAACTAGAAAAGTAGATTGCATAAAAAAACAGCATACTGAATTTTAAATACACGCACTCAGTAATGAATCATAGATGCTTTTCTTTAACTGGCTAAAGGTTTTCACAGGACATTTTCCTTGTTTGTGTAGACTTAGCTAATAGTCAATACTCTAAAACCCAATTCCATAAAATTGCATAATCTATAAAATAATCTATTAATAAACAGGCTATTTCCAACATTGAATATCAGAGAATCCTACTTTCATCACTTCCCCAAAGGTTCTACAACTCTGTGTGGTCTCATAGCTATGTACCTCCGTGTTTGCTCCTCCTTTATCCATTAACCACCTCTCCACTTCTCACCTTCTTTCTCTCCCTTTTACATGTTATAAAAAAAATAAAAGCATTATGTGGCTATTCAGGGTTGCTATGCATCACTGTAGTGGCTACTAAAACAGAGTGAAACTCAGTACTGAAAAAATACACTGTCTCCTTACCTGCGGCAAACCACCTCTGTCACTTCCAATTGTGTGGCTCTGAGCAGGTCGGATGCTGACACCACACAAAGTCTTGTAGCCGGCATACAGCTATTCCTGTGTCTCTGTTATCATCTCTACCCTTAAAGATAATTTCTTTTTTTCTTTCTTTCTTTTTCTTTTGGTACCGGGGATTGAACTTGGGTCCTTGTGCTTGCGAGGCAGGCCACCGAACTGCTGAGCTAAATCCCCGGCCCCTTAAAGATAATTTCTTGAATTGCCACTTAGAAGTCCAGAGTTCAGAACTGCATCTCACTGAGCTGTACTCAGGGAGTGAGCAGAGCACCCTGGGCCACACCTTCTAAAGGCTCTGAAATAGAGCTCTTTTTCACCTTTCCACCTTCTCGGGGCTTCAAATTATTAGTCTCCTACATACAAACCTCCAACAAACAAGCTGAAAATGTAGGCACCTACCATTCCTCCCATGCCTGGGTGACATGAAGGGATAAGGGAAATGCAGCCAGGGACTTTGGAATTTTGGCATCTGTGTCTTCTCAGAATATCCTTCACCAGATCCTGTACTCAACACGAGAAGGCCATATTCTTTAGGATGAGGGGGCTGAGGCAAAAGTTGCCTTGTCTACCTCCTGTGGCCCTTCCTCCAAGAAGAGTGGTTAGAGGCCCAAGGATAAGGGTCATTTTCCCTGAGTTAAACAGCAGTCTTGGATAGACTTTGCTCTAGTTTCTAAAATAGAACTCCTTTTCCTCTGTCCCTCTTCTCAGAGATGCCCCTCCTGGTTTCCTAATGTTCCCCTAGCCACCAAGCCAGCAAGCACTGTGAGCTACCTCCATTCCATGGATCCCTCTCCCAAATCTCAGCCCCTTCATCACATCAGAGCCTCATGTTCCCGCCTACAAGCCCAGTGTGGAGGTCACTGTGCCCACTCCGCCATTGCAGGCACAGGTTCCCATCAGAGTCTCCTGCTGTCCTCACATCCAAAAGTCCCTATCGCCCTGGCTGCCTCCTATTCACATCCCCCATTCTCATGCCCCTGCTTCTTCCTTTCATGCCATTCTTAGGTACATTCCTTCCCCTTCCATGTCTACAATGTCCTGCCTTTACATTAGACAGAGGATTACAGCATCACATACCATTCAAGTGAAGTTTCTACTTATCCAACTGGGGAATACTGTGTCTCATCATTCTTCAACATGTTTTGGAAGTGGCCCCTCGGGTTGACATGTCGTCACTCTACTACATTTCGCTGTTTAACTCAGGACAAATGGCCCTTTTCCTTGGAGCTAAAACCACTCTTCTTGGATGAACAGCCACAGCAGGAAGACGTATCAACCTTGAGGGGCAGGTCCTCCACCTGGAAAAAAGTGGCCTGCTCAGGTGGGGGCAGGGACGAGGAGGAGGACCTTCAGAACAGATAGAGATGCCAAAGACACAAAAAGGCCTTGGCATAGTCTACCTTAATTCAACATGTCACACAGGCCACAAAATCCGAGCACAGACCTATTTATGAGCCATTGAACAAGGACTCACCCCTTCCAAGAATTAAGGGGAGATGTATACTGAGATCCCAGCACAACATACATGCCATGACATAGGAACTTGAACAATCGAATGCATTTCATACACAATTACATCATATATTGAATCAACACTTTCTACTCTTACAATGCCAAGGAACACAGCACCTCCAAACCCTGTTGCAGAATTATGAGAAAGAGAATTCCCAAGTTGGCTAAGGACAAGAATAATTTCCACGCAACTGGAGAGCTGAAATCACTCATCCTCACAAAAGAGAGAAAACTGCAGAAACTGGAGTGGAAGGACAGCAGAGAGGAAAGGCATGAAAGGAGGAAGCAGGAAAACAAGGGAGAGTGATGTGATTATGAGGAAGCCGGAGCAATAGGGCCTTTGTGATTCTGAAAAAATCAAGAGGGTCAGATTGGCACCTGATTCTGCCGTGGCTGTGCCTGCACAGTTTGCTCAGCAGTGGGTTTGGAAGAGGGAGCAGGAGCCTCTAAATTTGTGAAGGGGATCAGAAATAGGGACAGGGATCAGTGGAATGGAGGTAGGCTAAAGTGCTGGCTAGGTGGCTAGGAGAAAAGTAGGAAATCGGGAAGGGGCAGCCCTGAGGAGCTAAGAGGGAGGATATGAGTTCTGTATCACAGAATTGAGAAAAGTTTAACCAATGTACTGGGCCTCAAGTAGGCACAGGTCTGGGTCAACTGCTACAACAGCAATGAAGGAAGTGGACTTTGGATGGTGTGAAGGACAGCACTCAGACAAGGAAACTTCTTGTATGTTTCCCTTCCTGGGGACATTAGAGAGGGAACACCAGAAAAAGATAGAGCAAAAGTGTTCCCAGGGCCAAGGCACAGGGAGGAGTCTCAGGTTGCAAATCCAGGCCACAGACTTTCCCAAGTGAAAGAAAGGTAAGAAAGTCTGGAGATGAATGGTGGTGACAACCCAAAGTCAGTGCACAAACAAGGTCAAACTGAGCTGTACCTGAAATCAGGTGTGAACGGCAGAGTGGATGTCCTCGGATTTTTT